CCAAATCTAATGTTCTCTCTACTGCCCTGCCTGAACAGGGCAAGGAAAGGGAACTGGCTTGTATTCTGGGGAATAAAAAACTTCTGAAGGCTCCCCAGAGAAAGTCCAAAGTCCAAAGACGAGTGCCTTCTCCCAGTCTTGATTCTCTCGATTAACAAAGAAAGGGCCAGTGAAGGGAATGTTCAGGGGTGCAGGCGTATATAGAAACATGCTGAAATACATAGGAGCAGCAGGGCATGGTGGAAAGAAAGCTGGACTTAGAGGCAGGAGACCAGGAGTCCAGCCCCTGCTATCCCTAACAGTATATGACCTTGGCCCTAATGATAGTAGAACTGCAAAAGAACTTAGAGATCATGTCTTTGATTTGACAGACAAGGAGCCATGACTCATCCAAGGTCACACAGTGATTTAGTGGGGGAGCCAGACCTCACCGAGGTGCCCCAACTTATGGTTCCATGGGCATTCCCTTCAATTATGTTGTGAGGGGGTCAGCTAAGAGTCCTGGCCAAGAACCAGATCCCAACGAAGCCTGGTAACTCCCCCTTCCAGAATTTGGTTTCCAGTTCATTTTTTTAAAGTGTTTTATGGACTTTTATCTTGACAACAGTCATTTCAGAACTCTCCTCCATTATGGCAAAGCAAACCAATCAAGCAAAAACATCCAATAAAATAATGGCATCCATCTGTTCATGACCAATTAGAAGCTATTTCAGAGTCCTGATGAGAGGTGATGAGGTTAGAAAAGTGAAGCTTTCTATTTTTCTTCAAAGAATGCAACCTAACAAAGGCCTGGTTCACCTCTTGTTTCCTGCTTTTTCTTTTCTTTTCTTTTTTTTTTTTTTAGGAAATTGGGGTTAAGTGACTTGCCCAGGGTCACACAGCTAGTAAGTGTCAAGTGTTTGGTCTGAGGCTGGATTTGAATTCAGGTCCTCCTGACTTCAGGGCCGGTGCTCTATCTACTGCGCCACCTAGCTGCCCCCCTGCTTTTTCTTCTGCAAAAATGGGGGCAATTAAGGCATGGCAAGTACGGAGTTTGATGTCTCAGAGTATGGGCCTAGAGTTAGGAAGCTCTGAGTTCAAATCGGACACATAGTACCTTTGTGACCTTGGGAAGTCATTTAACCACTACCTGCCTCAGTTTCCTCAACTGTAGAATGGAGATAATAATTGCACTTACCTCCCAGGGTAGTTGTTAGGATCAAATGATGTATTTGTAAAGTGCTTAGTACAGTGCCTGGCACATAGTAGTTTTTAATGAATGCTCCTCTAAAAAGAAAAGAATTAACTAAATCCAAAGATTGTTGATTAATAGACCTGGAAGGTTCTCCAGGAGAGGATTTCTAGTGACATGGCATAAGGTTTGTCCTTGGCCCACTTCTGTGCAATGCTTTTACTAATATATTGAATAATAAAGATAATTAGCATACATACATATATGTGTATATATACATATCACATGTGTGTATGCATGTTAAAAAATAAATGCTTCTCGCCTTGTCTGTTTCTTCTTCTGCAAAATGAGGGCAATAATCTTGTACTGCCTATATGTTTTGAGGAGCGCTCTATAGACCATAAAGTGTTATAGAAATGTGAGCTGTTATTGAATGAATGAAAAGGTGTTTATTAAGCATTATTATGTGCTATAGTACCAGCAATATAAATAGAAAAGATAATCCCTACTCTGAAGGTGAGGGCATTCTAACGGGGGCACAATGCACATAGGAGGGTACATGCAACTACAAGTCAGATGGAAAGGCGAGGCCTCAGGATTCTGCAGGAAGGCAGATGGTAAAGTTATTCTGGGTCTACACACTTGTGAAGACCCAACTCCTGATAGAGGGCAGCTGGCTTACCTTCCTAGTTGGGTTCTTCTTGGGCTGATATTTAAATGAATTTCTATATGCATTGTCTGAGCAAATGAGCATTGACAGATGGATCCAGAAGAGTATAATTGGGTGAGAAAGGCAAGTTAGCCAGGAATTTTAAAGCATGCCACAGACCATCATCAAGGGAGTGAGTAATTGAGTTGACTGTTTGTATAAAGACTGAATGAGTGGAAGAGGAGTGGGTGGTGTCTTGGATGATGAGTGGGTGGTGAGCCAATTTAGGCCCTATCTAGGAAGGCTTTTGTGAGGAGGTGAGAGGCTGACTTTGAGCCTCACCCAAACTCTAAAGTTCAAAGGGGTGTCCTGTCTTCTGTGCTATGTGACTGGAACACCCTAAAAGCATTTGCTTCTCTAACAGAGGAAAGCATGAAGGGTGTGTCCCATGAATCCTCATGGTGTTTTTAAGAAGGATATTAAGAGGGTTATTAAAAAGCATCCAATCGGGGCAGTTAGGTGGCGCAGTGGATAGAGCACCGGCCCTGAAGTCAGGAGGACCTGAGTTCAAATCTGCCCTCAGACCAAACACTTGACATTGTGTGACCCTGGGCAAGTCACTTAACCCCAATTGCCTTAAAAAAGAAAAGAAAAGCATCCAATCTGTCCAGGCCAGTGTTGCAAACTGGGTCTGAGAATGGGTTTGCATTAGTTGTGTTTTTGAGTGTAATGAAACTTAAATGTACTTTGAGGTCAAGGGTGGTGTGAAGCTGAGGGTCATAGAGACCTTACTTATAGAGTTGTAAATAGACCATCCAAAGTGACTCTAGAGTATAGTGGAAATAATAGGAGAAGACCTGGGTTCAAATCTGGTCTTTTCCCCTCACTAGACTTGTAATCTTTGGCAAATCCTTCCCCTCTCTGGACAAAATTTTCTCAACTACAAAATGAGCAGGTTGGATTTAGCTAATCTCTAAGGTCCCTTCCAGCTTTGACCACTCTAAAGTTCTAGAATTCCATTCATTCATTCAACAAATGGCTTATTGAATGCCTATTATGTGTTCAGTTCTGTACCAAGCTCTATGATTCTATGACCTGAGTTTGAGGTCAACTTTTTCCCCAGAGGTTTGGTGTAGGGTAGTATTGGAAGATGAGAATTACAACAGCTGCCCCCATAAAAACATCAACCCTCAGAAGCCTCCAGCCTGGAGGCCTGTGGCCTGTTTGCAGAAACAGCTGCAAACCACTCCCTCCCCCCAAACCTCCAGCCAGAAGGCCCAAAGGTAAACCCTGTAACCAGATTTGTCCAGGCAACTTGCCAAGGACTACATCTAATTTCCATAAAAGTTTGCCTCCTCCTGGTTCTATAACTGATGTCAGCTTTTGTCCCATAAAAGAGAAATGGAAGCAGATTGTGGTACAGAGGATAGAGCCAAATGTAAGGATGCTGAGACAATGGCACATGAGTGGCTAGGATTAGGGGAGGATGGGGAAGCCAATTCAGGCTCAGTCCAGGAGGATTTCTTGAATTAGGGGTTCCTGGATCTTGATTAGCCCTCAGAGTCTCAGTTTCCTCACGGATCCAATGGAAAATTTGGATTAGATCAGTTCTAAAGCCCTTTCCGACTCTGTCTCTTAACACTTTCTAAGTTATTTTCTCCTTAATGTCTAACTCCAATATAACAAGCATTTATGAACTACCTACTGTGTATCAATCAAAAACAAAAATAGAATGGTCCCTACCCTCAAAGTGTTTACAATGGGGGGGGAACCTCTCAATACATATCTAAATAAGTGAATACAAAATATATACAAAAACAAATTCTGCCAAACATTTATTAAGCACCTACTATGTGCTAGACACTGTGCTAAGCACCGAGAATATAAAGAGAAGCAAAAGATAGTCCCTGCCCTCAAGGAGCTCACAATCAAATGTGAAATTTAAAAGTAATTTGGGGAAGTGGTACTAACAAGTGGGGGAATTGGGAACAGCCTCCCATGGGAGATGGCGCTTGAGCAGACCATGGAAAGGAGGTTGGAGTTTCAAGAGGTAGAAGTGAAGAAGAAGGGCATTCCAGGCAGGAGAGACAGCTTGGGAAAAGGGAGAGGGAGGAGATGAAATGTCATGAATAGGAAATAGCAAGTAGACCAGTTTCACTGGAAAGTGAATTTCTCAGGTTATATTTTAGGAGCCTTTGTACCATCCTTCCAGGGGCCCACCTATGTCCATCAGCAAACATCAGCTATGTACATATCTAGTACCTCTCTAGGCACCATGAGGGCTGTGTATTCTAGGAGATGTTATCCCTGCCCCCAAGGAGTTAACTGTCCAAGAGACAAAGCTGGACAGGTGAAACGAAGTCATTGTGTCTGAGAGAGCAAGACTTTTCAGAGTACGTGAGAATTGAACTGAGCTCTGAAGGAAGGATAGGATTTGCACAGCTAGAATGTTGCTGTTTGTCCTGAGGAACAATGACATCAGGAAGGTGATGTCATGACTCTCGAGTGAATTGGATTTAAGTGAGGCAGGGATGTGCAAAGTCACCAGGTCTCCTGCTGTATCCAGGGCCATGTCCAGTTGTCCTGATCTATGTCTTGCTGCAGCTAGAGGAGGGAATGGTAGGTATTCCAAGTGAGGAACAAACCCAGGGAATCAAATGGAAGAGAGAGAGGCAAACATGGAATAGAGTGAGGAAGTTGGTCTGACCATAGCAAATGGTCCCTAAGGTAGGTCAGGGCCAGCTATGGAAGGCTTCAAATGCTAGGCTCAACAGTTTGCATTTTGTCCAATAAGCAATGGGAAGAGGCAGCTAGGTAGTGCAGTGGATAGAGCACTAGCCCTGAAGTCAGAAGGTCCTGAGTTTAAATATGGCCTCAGACATTTATTAGCTATGTAACCCTGGGCAAGTCACTTAATTCCAATTGCCTCAAAAAAAAAAAAATAATAAGCAATGGGGAACCTTTTTAAGCTCTTGAGCCAAAGGAGTGACCTTATGAAAGTCTTTTTTTTTTTATGGCAATCGGGGTTAAGTGACTTGCCTAGGGTCATACAGCTAGTAAGTGTCAAGTGTCTGAGGACAGATTTAAACTCAGGTCCTCCTGACTCCAGGGAAAAGTCACTTTTTTAAAAAAATTTGAAACTCTATCTTTCCCTACTCACCATTGTTGGGTTTCTTCTAGAATGCACAGGAAAACCATGGACTGGCTGTGCCAACCCCATCTGTCCCTGAGGATTTTGTGGGCAAAGAAGTGACAAATAAAGGTACCTGGGGTCCCCTTGCCTTCAGGCTCTAGGGGCTCTCAGACACTGGCTATTGTCCTCCAAATAGGCCCAAACTGTGAGAGCCCTGCCACTCTGCCGTCCTTTGCCTCCAGATGTAGCAAAACTGAACTGGAGGGGTTTGGGGGAGAAGACATACTGGAAAAGTCTGTTTCTGGGGAGGAAGAGGAAGGGAACATCTAAGCCTATCCCCTGCCCAGCCCTCTTATCCCTAATCAGTAGCATTTTTTTTCCTCTTCACTGACTCACCTCCCAACCCTTTTACTGTGTCTCTTCTGCTTGTGCCAGGAGAGCTTGGTCAGGTAGATCAAGAATGGGGCTGCGCTAGCCACTTTCTCCCAGATCTCATTAAGTCACATCATCCTCCTACCCTGCTGTTAAGAGGAGGGTCATGTTGCCAAGTGTGCAGGGCTCAGGCCGCTGCTGCCCTATCTTTCCTACCTGAGAAACAGGAACTGATCATTTACCTTCAGGGGTGGCCTTCCCTGGGAGTGGGGAATGATGAGATGGGTACCCTGGAAGTTCTAGACCTACTTCACTCTTCTCTCTTTTTTATAGGCAGCAGCCTGCAAATCAATGGTAACCTCCGACTGTACAGCTCCGTGGGTGACCTGAGGTCTGGGCATTATGGTGAAGAGCCCATCATCCCTCCACCCCCTGTGGGCCCAGCCCCAGGACCACCTCCTGATGTCTTGATGTTCAAGGCAGAGTCTCCACCCCCTCCCCCACCTTCCATGGCACCCCCACCTCCTCCCTTACTGCTGGAACAGCAACCCCCACCGCCACCCAACATGGCCCCACCTCCACCACCTGTGCCCGGGGCTCTGTCTCCCCCATCTACACTCTCCTCCCCACCGACCCCCACCCCTCCAGACTTTATCCCTCCGGCCCCACCCCTAGCCTTCCTGGCACCCCCACCCCCTCCTATGCCAGCACCAGGACTCCCTGTCCTAGAATTTCCTCGTACCCCAACAGGGCCTCGGCTCTTCCCTTCTACTGGTGTCTCCAAATGGAAATCAGAGACTGTGCTCAATGGGGGGCAGTCTGAGGCCCACAAGAACAGCCCTCCCAGAAGCCCTGCTGCCCTTCCTACTGAGTCCAAGCCTGACCCCCATCTTACCTTCCCCCGTTCCTTAAAGGTGCCCCCTCCAGCACCTGTCAGGACCTCATCAATCCCAGTTCAGGAGTCTCCTAGGGATCCCCAAGAGGTGGATACTCCTAAGAAGATCTCAAACCGGCTTCCTTTACCACCTAGCTTCCATATCCGTCCTGTATCCCAGGCATACCCCGATGGGACTCAGGAGTCAGATGGCCCCAGGAAGCTTCAAGACACTGTGCCAGCCAGCCCTCAGCCTAGCCAAACCAGCCCCAGAATAAACAGCAGAACAGCAACGCCACCCCCAGCCTCTCCATTGCCACCCCCAGCACCCCCTCTCCCTCCAGAGGCTCCCCCTCTGTCTGCCATCGAAAAGGTCCCAAGACCAGTGACAGGGCTTGGGAAAGGCCCCAAACCAAGTTCTCCCATCCCCAAACCCAAATCTGCCATCCCAGTGGCTGAGGACTCCTCAGATCCTGTGGACTGGCGTGATCCCAAACAAATGGACAAACTGAGGAGTGAGCTGGCTGCCTACCTCTGTGGCTCAAGGAGAGAAGAACGCTCTCCCTGCAATGGGACTAGATCCACACCTGCCTCCAAAGCTGGAGAGAACAGAGACGAGAGCCCCAATTTACCCAAGAAAGAGCCTCCCCCCAGCCTAACTCTCCCACCTGTGGACTACGCCCCAGCAGAGCCCCCAACTCCAAGTGTCCAGCGCATCAGGAGTGAGCTGGAAGCCCTAATGTCCCCCTCACTGGAGAAGAAAGCTAAGCCAACTATAGGTCTCGTATCCCCTAAACTCCCACCGGAAGCCAGAGGGATAGTCGAGAATGGGGCTGGGGATGCCAAGCTTCCCAAGCCGATGGCCAAGAAGCTCCCACTTCTGCCCACCCCACCCAAACCTGAAGCAGAGAAGGACTTGGGCGTCCCCACAGCCAGGACTGTTGGACCAGGGGAGAAAGCCACAGAACCTCAACCATCAGCAATATCTTCTCCCCTCCAGGCTAAGGGTTCCCCTTTGGCGCCTCCGAAACCTGATAGGATGGGGACACCTCGTTTGCCAGCCCCTGCACCAAAGACTCCCCTAGCCCAAGAGGAGGTGTCGGTTCTCTACAAACCCCTCCAGGACCAAGACAAGGCACGCTCTGGCCAGGAAGCTGCTGTAGTAACACCCAGCCCTGCCAAGAGGGAGCCTCAAGGAGTATGGGAAAATGAAAGCCCATCACTCACGACCCCTGGAAAAGATTGGTCAGACAGGGAGGTCCTCAGACACCCAGTGACAGGGGAGGTGGTGGAAAGAGGATCTCCAATGGCCTTACTCCTTGCTGCCAAACAGAGGGCCCAGAAGGGACGGGCTAGAGGCAGTGCCCTGGGCCTGTCCTCATTGCCAGGGGGTCTCCATGGCAACAGAAATCAATCAGAGTCTGTCTCTGAAAGCATCATCTACAGTGAGGTCAGGCCCAGCTCCTTCACAGTTGTGCCCAAACCCACGAGGGAGGTAGAACAGGCTCCCCAGATGTCCACATCAACTCAGCATGACAGACCTAGCAAGTGGGGCTCCCCATCCCCAAGAGGTGCAGCGACTTCAGAGTCCCAGCCCAGGCAGAGATGGTCAAAGGAAGAGCCTCAGGCCTCTCTGGTCCAGGAGAGGTCAACCTCTTCCTACAGCCCCCAAAGCCATCTGCTGCCCAAGTCCTTCTCTTCGCCATCCTCCCCTTCATACAAGGGAGGTGGGGAAGAGGTGGAAAAATTTAACTTTGAGGTCATCCCACCACCCCCTGAGTTCAGCAATGATGCTGATCTTTCTAACCCACCTCCTGCTCCAGCCCCAGCTCCGGTCCCAACCCCAGCCTACCTGGGCCATAGGGGTTCTCCTCTGCGAAGCAGCTTCTCAGACTATGGCCAGACCCCGGACCTGGGCCTTCCAGGCTACGAGCGGCCATCACCCACAGGATCCCCGGGAAATAGCTATTCCCGCTACTACCCTGGTGTCCACTACAGTGGTGGTGGGGGTTTGGAACGCTTCTCAAGTGGGGGCCGCTCCCTCATTAAGAAACGCCTGTACCTCAATGAGCCTCGGAGAAGCCCTGGACCCCCACGCTGTGGCCCAGGTGGCGGTACTGGTAGAAGTCTGAGTACCCCAAATGCCTTTGGGCCTCAGCCTGGTGGAACCTATGGGTCTGGGCACGGAGGAACAGAGATGAGACGGGTTAATTCTTCAGGTCGGGCGCCCGGGGGTCTGCATACCCGAAGGCTTTCCATAGAAGGGACTGGAAGGAATGGACCCTATGCAGGAGGGGGAGTTGGCAGTGGTGGACCTGGAGAGAATATATACAAAGTATCTAATACAGACTACAGCTTTGCCCCAGCAACCAGCAGGTGAGTCCTGGGGTAAACACAGGAAGATGTTGGGAGGGGAGAGGTGCCAAGCCAGGCCAGACTGCGATAAGCTACTTACAGCAACCTCATCAAAGGTGACTTGCTAGGGTTTTCTCCTCTCATACCCAGTAATGTATTTCAGATGTTGGAAACATCTTCCTCCCCTCTTCTCTTTTTCTTCCACCATCCCTCACTTCTCTTTTCCTTCCTCCTTGTAAAGAAAGAGACCAGCATTCACCACCAGACCCCAGCTGCAGCCCTCCTTGAGGGTTATTTTCTCTGCTCTCAAATACAAGTCACAAGACAGAACTTCTGCCATTTGTCCCTTCCTTGCTAGACCTCTGGGCATCTTGGATAGCCTTCCTCTTCCTCTCCCCTTAAATCCCAAATCCACCAGAAGCACCTGCTTCTCCTAAGGGCCTGTTTCTTGATATCAAGGTGGTGAGATAACTTCTCACACTTCCACTGGGCCTCCTGCAAGACAGAAGCCGGTTCGGGGCAGCTAGGTGGCCTAGTGGATAGAGTTCAGCCCTTGGAGTCAGGAGGACCTGAGTTCAAATACCGCTTCAGACACTTGATACTTACTAGCTGTGTGACCCTAGGCAAGTCACTTAACCCCGACTGCCTCAGCCAAAAAAAAAAAAAAAAAGACAGAAGCTGGTGATAAGTAGTTCAAGTATTATCCCCATTTTGCAGATGAGGAAACCGCAACCCAGAAAAGTAGCGTGCCTAAACTCACAGAACATAATAAGTGGTAGAATAAGGGTGCAAATCCAGGGCTTCTGGATACAAATCAGTGTTCTTTTCACTATGACAATAGGGGCCACTGTTTCAGCAGCTCTGCTATGTGTGACCTATTAAAAAGAGTAAAGAAATGTACTCCTTCCCACAACCTGCCGCTTCAGTGGTGGGGGAGGAGGAGAGGAATCAATCAATTAATCAATAAACATTTATTAAGGACCTACTATATGCCAGGCACTGTGCTAAAGACTGAGGATACAAAAAGAGGTAAAAGACAGTCCCTGCCCTCAAGGAGCTCCCCATCTGACGGGAAGACAACATACATACAAACAAATCTAAACAAACAAGCTATATGTAAGATAAGTAGGAAATAATGAACAGAAAGAATGCACTAGAATTAAGAGGGGTTGGGAAAGGCCTCCTATAGAAGATAGGATTTTAGTTGATACTTAAAGGAATCCAGGGATAGGTAGAGTTGAGGAGGGAGAACATTCTAGGCATGGAGGACAGCTAGAGAAAATGCCTGGACTGGAAAGGTGGAGTGTCTTGTTCTTAAAAGAGTACATGTAGAGGAGTAAGCTGTATGAAGACTGGAAAGGCAGGAAGGGGCTAGCTAGGTCATAAAGGGCTTTGAATACCAAACAGAGCACTGAAATGGGGAGGGGGGTGACATGATCAAATCTGTGCTTTAGGAAAATCACTTTAGTGGCTGAATGGAGGATGGACTGGATTAGGGAGAGACTTGAGTCAGGCAGACCTACCCGCAGGCTGGTGATGATGAGGGACTGCATCAGAGTGATGCAGAGTGTCAGAGAAGAAAAGGGGGCATATTCAAGAAATGTTGCAAAGGTGAAATCTATAAGCCTTGGCAACATTTTGGATATGGCAGGTGAGAGAGAGTGAGGAGTGGAGGATAACTTCAAGGTTGTAAGTCTGAAGAGGTGTTGCCCTCTACAGTAATAGGGAAAGTAGGGGGAGAAGGTTTAGGGAAAAGATAATGAATTCTGTTTCGGACCTGTTGAGTTTAAGATGTTTACTAGAGGGGCAGCTAGGTGGTGCAGTGGATAGAGCATCAGCCCTGGATTCAGGAGGACCTGAGTTCAAATGTGACCTCAGACATATAACACTTACTAGCTGTGTGACCCTGGGCAAGTCACTTAACCCCATTGCCTAGCCAAAAAAAAGAAAAAAGATGTTTACTAGACATCCACTTGGAGATGTCAGAAAGGCAGGTGGAGATGTGAGCTTGGAGGCCAGCAGGTAGTAAGTGTCAAGTGTCTGAGTTTGGATTTGAAGTCAGGTCCTCCTGACTCCGGGCCAGTGCTCTATCCACTGTGCCACCTAGCTGCCCCCCAAGTGAGGGTTTTTTCAGGATAGGGTAGACAGGCATATTTGTAGGCAGTGGGGAATGAGCCAGTAGATAGAGAGAAATTGAAAATAAGTGACAAAATAGGGATTTCAGGGAGGGTAATCTGTTGGAGGAGATGAGATGGAATGGGGTTGCTAGATCAGGTAGCAGGGCTAGCCTTGGTAAGGAGTAAGACTGTCTTATCATGGGAGACAGGGATGAAGAGATAATGGCAGAAGGCATCTGAGTAATAGGAAAGGAGGAAGAGGGGAGAAAAGGGCTCCTGGCAAATAGCCTCAATTTTTTATATAAAATATGAGTCAAGGATCTCAGCTGAGAGGGTGGGGGGAGTGGGAGCCATGGAAGGTTTGAGGAGGGATAATTTGGAAGAGCCACTGTGGAGAATAGGAATTTTTTTTTAAGCTAGTGCCACTCCCTTCTTGTTTGCAATTGTCTCTTCACCTTGCCTTATTTTCCTCACCTTTTTTCCTAGATTCTTTTTCCACCCACTACCCTCCTATTTCTGCTCTTCCTTCTCCTTGAAATCCAATAGCTTTAGTCTAAGTTTTTGGTATAGAACCCTAGAATTCCAGGGGCTGGCAATTTTATCAATATATTTATTCTGGGCCATCCCTGTCCACCCCTAGCCACAGTAAGTGCCCATTTCTATGAGACACTGTTGAGGAAAAGTGGGTCCAGGCTATAGGAGCTAGGAATGGGAACCTGGGGCTGGGCTGAAAATGCTTAAGTACTCATGGAATTTCTTTTCCCTGGCAGTGTGTGTGTGTGTGTGTGTGTGTGTACACTAATCAGACTACCTGCCTACAATGCTCTGACAGCCTCTCATCCCAATCCCAGGTCCTCCCCCAGCAGTGCTAAATACAGCAGTCCCCTCAACACCTTCACAGTGCGGCCTGGAACCCGACAACCCATTTCCTACGTATACTCTGGAGCACATCGAAAAGCCACATCCTGAGCTATTTGCCTGCCTCAGTGGGCTGGAACTTAGCTGAGAGACAGATGGACAAATGAGAAGCAGTCTTCTGGAGAGAATGAAAGTCTCCTGTTTGGGTTTTGTTCGACAAAACACTGTCATTAATACCTGGATTGACTTAGATGTTGGAGGGGAGGGAAGGAAAGGGGAAGATGCTTGGCTAGGATCCCTGATTAGCCAAAGCCCAAGTTTGTGGCAGGTTAGGACCTACGCCTCACCCCCCCCCCCCCAAAAAAAATGTATGCAAAAAATTTTATGAGGTTTTTAAAAATTTAAACCATAAATAGTCTGTGAGCAGACTATAATAGCAGGGATACTGTCCCCAATCCGCAGGTCTACCAAGGGCTAGAAGTCCTGATTGGAACCCCATGGCATTCCTAATGGGCCCAGTAAAACAGGTGGAGTTTACATCTGGCTGGCCCTCAAATCTTGCTCTAAGTGCTTGCTACTTCTGGGAGAGGGCCTGTCCATGTCCTGGGGGAGTTGGGGGGGGGGGTGGTCTTTGACTACAGCCAGTCCCAAAGTTTTTACTCCCAAAAATGGAAGGGCTCTCTGACCCACTCCCACCCAGAGCCACTATACTCACATGGGGGCCTAAGAAGATCAAAGTGCCTTGGACTGCTGTTTGCCTTGGGTAGGGGAAGGGAGGAGGGACACTGTATTTTCCATTTCCTTAGGCCAGGAATAGGGGAAGATGAGTCATATGTTGAGGGGGATGGTGAATGGGACTTGCTTTACAATTCAAGTCTAAGTCTTCTTAGCCATGATTTTGGGATCAGAACACAAAGGAGCCAGAAGACTCAGGTTCTAGGGCTTGGCTTTGGACTCATTAGCTTTGCCAGGCCTTCCAGTGGGCTTAGGAGGAAGAATTCTCACCGATCTCTCCCTATTCCCCCAACCCACCCCATCAAAAAAATTGTTCACCACAAATATCACTGCGGTTTTAAAACCTATAGCTAAGGGATTGAGAGTTAGGGGAGGTAGTGTCAATGGATGATATGTAGCAGATGGGTTTAATGGTTAACTGATAAGTGAGAAGAGAGAGGAAGAGAAGGATTATGTCTAGCCTGTGGCTCAAGGCAGGGACATCTGCTTTGGAAGCAATGTCCCCCCTGGACGTCCTTCCTCAGGCTCCAGGCTCAGGTAAGTGATGTTCCTGAGCCCAGTCCAGGGCCAGGGGAGCTGCCCGTGGGAGTCAGAGTGCTTCATTAGGTGACAAGGATTATGAATGATGTCAGTGTGTGGATGCAATTAGTCATGCCCAGTGGGGAGTGCACAGAAGAAGCATTGAGGAAACAAGGCACAGTTTGTCGGGGAGAAGGCAGAGAGTGGAGGAATGGATGTGAAGCCTGCTAGAGAACTTAAAATAATCCTTGCTGAGTCCAGGGGATGGTATCTGCCCATCTTCTTATAAGAAATGTACTTGACCTTACCTCCAAGCCCAGCCCTGGCTCTATGTATATGAAATTTGTGTGTATTTTCTCTGCACGTTGTTTTTTAAGAGTCTGTTAACTTATATTCTGTATTAAGGCACACACAGGAGGGGGAGGATGTGGGCTAACTGTTGTATGTTATTTAGAGAGGGCAGAGAGTGGATTTTTCTTGGCTTTGGAAATAAACAGGTCTAGTTTGAGATTATTGACCGGGACTGCTTCTCCAACTGTGTGCTGAGCATTTGGAGTCATTATGATGGAGGGGAAAGGGAGAAGAGGAGAGGGGGTGGGAGGAGAAATTGGGTAGATCCTTTCATTTCTGTTCCTGGAGGTCAAATCCTTGAATTCTTTCTATTCCTACTACCTTCCCCTCTCTATCCCAGGTGGGAGGTGAGAAGAGTGGTTTGAGGCTCAGTCACAATGATAAATGCCTTATATTTAAATATTTTAAGAAAACTGTGAAGAAGTTGGCAGCATTAGGGCCTTGGACAAGTCACTTTTCACTAAGCCTTAGTCTCCTTGTCTGTAAAATTCTAAAATCCACTCTAAGATCCCATGATCTAGCAAAGTCAGTTTTACAGAAGAGAAAGCTGAGGCCCAGGGAGGTGAGTTGGGCCAGGGAAGTATTGGAAGGAAACACTGAAGATAGCAGAGGCTGAGACAGTGTGACCTAGGTAAAAGAGCTTTAGATTCTGGAGGAGGGCTACCTGAATTTGCATCCAGACCTAGCCACTTACTGGCCATGTCAAATGACCCCCCTGGGCCTCAGCTTTTTCATCAAATAAAGAAGCTGGACCAAATGCTTATGAGCTCTAAGGATCCCTTCCAAGACTAAATAATGATTGATGCTTTAAGGTAATAATAGGGAGCCTTAAGGTGGCCAAGAACTTTATATATTTCATCTGACCTTTGCAACAACTGGGTGGGGTAAAAATTACTGGTATTGTTCCCATTTTACAGGTGGGGAAAGTGAAGCTCAGGCTATGAATTGCCCACCTTCACACGGCCAGTAGGTGTCAGAGGAGGGATATGAAGCCAGATCTTCCTGATCCCAGATCCCACACTCTCTTCGCTGTGCCAAATAGCCTCAAGCTAGTCACAACGAGTCTGTGACCAAGTCATTATGTTGGGGAGGATGTTTATGTTTCCTCCTTTTTTTTGGAAGAGGGTTGATGGTGGGGGCAGGGAAGACAGGAAAATGCCCTGATTGTACATCAACTTGTACTTCAGAGGGAGGAATGTGAAAAATTTCTACCAGCTTAAACAGCCATCTTCCCTGGCCTCTCTTGTCCCGGGTGCTTCCTCGTTCCCTAGCCTAGTCTCTCAGCAGCTTTCCACCAGACCCCTGAAGCACACACCCAGTTGCGCGGATATGCATTGAGCTCGGACAGGTTGCACCAGTTTCTCTCTGGGGTGCTCACAACCCAGCCCTAAGCTAGTCCTGGTCGGTCCCGGGGAGGCGGAAGGAGACGGCAAGTTTGCCCATACGCTTGGGGCCCTTGACAGCTCCCCTAAATAAGTAACTGACGAGCTTTCCTATTGCCCCCAAATAGAAATTTGATGGGGAAGGGGTGGGTAGGAAGATTTAACTCAGCCCAGCCCATCAGGGAAGATTGTGATGAGAAGAGAGGGACTAAACTTGTCAGCTTGCTGTAGTCCCCAGAAGCGGGGAGAGGGTAAGGGGGTGGAGCAGGCTGGCGTAAATAGGACACATTAACTTCACCTGGAGTTTCTGCAGTCAACTGCTACGGGTGTGGAGCTCAGCCAAAGAGCCCTAGGCCAGGGTGCTCCCAGACCAAGCCCTGTTCAGAGAGGGCTTGTGGACAGGTGAGTCAACCACAAGTAGATGGAGCATTGAGCGCTGAGGAGAGGGAAGAATGTTTTCACAACCCTTCGGGACTCCCCAGTGGGGTGACAGGACCTAGAATGGCAGGATTGGAAACCTGCAATGGAGGGGAGAGTCCCTAAAAAATGCCCCTGCAGCACCCTGGCCTCTGGGGATGTACCTGGAGCGATTGCTAGTCCCAGGGGCCTCCCAAACCAACTTAGTACTTTCACTGTCAAACTCAGAAGCATTTTGCTAGGGTGAGGCCTGCTCTGGGAGAAGAGTCCTCTCCCTCACCTTTCCTACAGTCAAGTGCCAATACATCAACCAACCATTTTGATTTTGAGATCTGGTGGACACTGGAGAAGGTGGAGCCAGGTAAACGGAGGTAGAGGACAGCCCTTAAACATCGAAGGATATCAGAGAATTCCAGCCTAGACTATCTCCTAGCTCTCAACAGTTCTAAAATCAGAATTTCCTGGAAGCATTCAGAGTACTTTTCCCATTACACCAAACTTTTGGGGCAGGTATTATTATTCCTATTTTATAGATGAAGAAAGTGAGGGTTGGGGCATTAAGTGACTTGTCTAAGGTCACTCAGCTCATGAGAACTAAGAGGTCTCAGATATCTTAGTTCAAACCCATCATTTTGTAAATGAGGAAAATGAAGTCCAGAGAAATGAAGAGACTTGCCTGAGGTCACAGAGGTGGCAAGGAAATTGAGCCCTGATGCTGACTCCAAATTCAGTGCATCTTCTACCATACCAACCCCCTTGCCCCTTCAGAGTCAGAGGGACTAGGTTTGAATTCTGGCTCTGAAAGGTTGAAGCTGGAGTCACCTTAGGATAAACAAGGAGTAAGAGAAAGGGAGTAGTGGCTCCTTGCAAAGCTGACTCATAAAGTATCTGGCAGCAAGTTGGTCAGACCTATCCATGTCCACTGGCACCTGACCCTAAGCCTTCCCAAACTCTTCTCTGGCTAATGACAGCTTCCTGACCCTTGGCTGTTTTCACTCTTAAAGCTTGGAGCACATTCCATCACTCCATCATTAGTAGATAGGCCAGACAGTATGTGCTTCCCCAACTGGGCTCAGGAGCTGCTATTGATCTGTAATTAGGGGATATGATTTCCCACAAGACCATCTGGTACTTGAAGGGGCAACGTAGGAGGGGCTGTGTCTTCGGAAAAGACTGAGGCTGTCAAGCATAAATTTTCTTCTCTTTCTTCCTCTTCACATCAACTATTTCAGCCTCTAAGATCCAGCCTTCCCTATTCACCCAACTCTCAGGGAAAGTTGTGTCCTTTCTCTTAAACTAAAACCTGCACCTGTGCCAGAGACTAGCAGTCTCTAGGAATCTTACTTCCCTGAGGCTCCCTTCTCCAACATCTCCATGTCTCTCTCTCTCTCTCCACTGGCTGCTACCAGGAAATCTTCAGGTTTCCTATAAAGGTTAAGAGTTGTCAGGGACTCTTAATGATTAACTAGCCCAGCAGCCTCTGAATGTAACTTGCTTCTGGCCACTCCCACGGGGAGTAAAGAGATGGGGTAGGGGACTGACGGGCTAGATAGGTGGTTTATCCCTATTCCCAAGTTTGTCATTTGGTCAAAGACAAGTTACATATAGAAAAGTCTGAAACTCAAAGTAGGTAAGTGACTTTCTCAAGTTCTCATAACTAGTTAGTAATTCTTGACTCCTTTCTATTCCAATGGGGTCTTTAAAAGAACTTTATGGTATACCCTCTAGTTACTGTCCTCTTTCACTGAGAAATTCTTTAAATTAGTAGCTCTCCCTGTCTCTCTCATATCTACCTTTTCTTCTCTCTTGTCTCTCTCTGTCTCTTATGTACACGTTCATACACACTCCTTAGCCCTCTGCAATCTCACTTTGGTACCCACCACTCACTGACTTAATTGCCATGTTTAATGGTCTTTTCCTTTCCTTCCCTTGGTTTTCATGACACTGCTGCCTTCTAGTTCACTTCCTACCCCTCTAACTACTCCTTTTATCTCTCCTATCCTGAGTTCTTTCCTTCCCGTCTCTTTAATATAACCATTCCCTGAAATTCAATGGCCTGTGATCCTTAATCTATGTGGCATTCTTTCTCAGAGAACTGATGCATCCTCATAGCTTCAACCATCACCTCCTATCTGGATGATTCCCTTCAACTCTAGCCCTCTTCTCATCTGCATTGTAGATACAATTACATATTGCAATATGCAACTACATATTTCCAGTCTTACAAAACATCTCCAAAACTGAACTCTGCACTCAAGTAACAGATTGAGTGCCCACCCACTTTGTATAGTAGAAAGGACTCCGGATCCAGGAGACATGAAATCCAGTGGCAGCTGATATTTCTGAGCTGTGTGACTATGAACAAGTCACTTCCTGTCTCTGAACCTCACTTTCCATTTCTGTAAAATGGAGAATAACGTCTAGTGACTTCAGCTAGACTCTCAGTATTAGAAGGGACTTCACAGGTCAGCTTAGTCTGAGCCCTTACCTTCTACAACTTCCCTCAGGACAGAGCTCAGGCTCTGCTTAAAGACCCCCTGCACCTACCCAGCAGGGCTCATCAGTCTTGTGAGTGCTAGAGAAATGTGAGCTGTTGCAAGTTAGCCTGTCATTATTGCTCTCCTAGAAAATGGACTTGCCTTCATGCCTTTCCTCTACTGCCTGATGGTACTAAAGACTTTCATGTCTTTAAGCTATTAGTACAAGTTTCTTTAAAAGGTTCTCTTTCGGGGCAGCTAGGCGGTGCAGTGAATAGAGCACCGGCTTTGAAGTCAGGAGGACCTGAGTTCAAATCGAGCCTCATACCAAACACTTGACACTTACTAGCTGTGTGACCCTGGGCAAGTCACTTAACCCCAATTGCCTTTAAAAAAAAATAAATTAAAAAAAGTTCTCTTTCTCAGAAAGCTTGCTGTTTTCCTAATCACTTACTTCCCTTATAAAGATTCCCAGTCACCTGAATTCATTGCTTCCTTTCCTGCTTATTCTTTTATCAGTCTTCCTCTCTTGTATCTAATCAGTTACTGAGTCCTGTGGAGTCTTTCTTCTGGCTGCCCTCTGTGTCCCTTCTTCATTCCTGCTGCCACCATCCTAGTCCGAGGCTTGATCATCCCACAGAATGTCACAGCTGGAAGGGACCTCAGACTCCATTTAATTCAGGGGTTCTCAATTTTGTTTGTATCATGGACCCCTTGGGCCCTCTGCTGATGCCTAGAGACCCTTTCTCAGAGTAAGATTTTTGCGTTGTTTTGTTTTGTTTTTTTGGAAAAGCAAGGTTTTTGAATGTATAAAATAAAAATACATAGGATCACTAAGCAAAGCAATTATACTGAAATAGTTATCAAAATATTTTTTAAAAAACAA